CCATTTTTTTCCATTAAAAACAGAATGTTCTCATTCATGTATCTTTAGAAACATATTTGGATATTTTATAATTTATTAGTGAGATTGTCACAAAAATTATATGCACATTTAAAATTCTGCCTGCCTTCCAAAAATTTCTGACAATTTATATTCTTACCAAAATGTGTGGCAAGAAAAAATTTATCATTTTGTGTTAACTGGCATTTTCTTGATCTGTAACTGTGATTAGTCGTTTGTATTTTTTCCATGAATTTCCATTTACTGTCAAATTTTACCTAACTTTTCAAATGAGTTTTTGGAATTCTTCATATTTTATTAATTGTTGACATTACTGAAAAGTTTTCCTCTTTGTACACATTTTAAGTTTAAAATTGTGTTTATTTCTTTAAAAACTAAAGAAAAACCCTGATGGTCATGTTGTCAATCTTTTCCTTTCTTTTTGTCTTACACATAAGGGTCACCTTCCCAGCCTAAGATTCAAAAACATTCACACACTTTCTGCCTACTACTTTGTTTTGGTTTTTCTGTTTAGATCTTTAGTTCTGTGGGATTTGTTTTGGGGGCTGCGTGAAATGAGCTCCAATTCATTTTTGCATGTATAGAATTGTTATCTAAATCATGGTGGTTGGTGTTTCATTCCTCTACCTGGAAGCATCATCACCATCATATACTGCGATTCTGTGGTTTCCAAATTCCTAACTTCTCCATGAATTATTTTCCGTCACTTAACTGGGAACTCTGTAACTTAATAGTTTTAGATAATGCAGTTTACATCATTGCTATCTCCACTCAATTGTTTTCTAAATACTGTGGCTACTGTGGTGCCATTCCTGTTCTAGTTTATAGACTCTAAAATTCCCACTCCCAAAATAACCATCGGAGTTTTCACTTGAATTCCATTGGATTTGTGTAATATATTTAGAGAGAATTGGTATCATTATCAGGAGTCTTCATCACTATGAATGTATTGTTTCTCCTTTAAGTCTTCTTTTGTGCCATAGTGGTTGAACAGTCTTTGTTTTCATGTTGTTCTTGCATATTTAAGCTTATTCCTAGTTATTTTGTGGCTATTTTACAAGGAACTCTTCCCCATTACGTTTCTGAATCATGACAGATTGGATGTAGGGAAGCTGTTGTTTTCTAATTTCAGTATTTTTGTCCTCGTTGGCCAGTTGTTTTGGTGTCAAACTTTTTTCTCTGTAAAGGGTCAGATAGGGAACATTTTTGGCTTTGTAGGTCCTAGGGTCTTTACAACTGCTCAGCTGCACCACAGGCAGTCCACAAACTAGTGGACATGGTTTGCATCAGTTAAACTTTATGATATCAGGTTGGAGTGGCTTTTAGGCATGAGATTTAGTTTGCTGCTTAGATCCTAAAGATGAAAATTTGTCATGTTTAGGTAATGTCTTTTCTTGTCTTCAAAACTCTGGACTTGAGGAGTGTTGGATAATAGCAGTAGTTACAGGCATCCTTGTCTTGCTCATGTTGACTCTGTTAGGCTCTCAGTGTCTCACCATCAAGTCTGATGAACCTTAGTAATTTTTTGTCATCTATCCCTCAGTTACTAAGGGAATTTTACAGCAATGTGGTTGAATTTTGTTAAATGCTCTGTGTCTGTTACTCTTAACATTTTCCCTATTTTCTTCATTTGTGTAAACACAATATCCTTTACTGAACTATGCTTCAATTGCTGGACCAAATTACTCCATTTTCTATATTTCATCTAGAATTTCTAGATCTCTACTCGTAACCAAGCAACAGTTTGTATACTATTTATCTGATTTTTAGTACTATTTTAACCTTGTAGAATGGATTGGTAAGCCCTCATCTTTTTTATGTTCTGAAATAAATTAGGGCCAGTGCTGTGGCTCACTTGGCTAATCCTCCACCTGTGGCGCCGGCATCCCATATGGGCGCCAGGTTCTAGTCCCGATTGCTCCTCTTCCAGTCCAGTTCTCTGCTGTGGCCCGGCAAGGCAGTGGAGGATGGCCCAAGTGCTTGGGCACCTGCACCCACGTGGGAGACCAGGAGGAAACACCTCGCTCCTGGCTTCGGATCAGCGTAGCGCCGGCCATGGTGGCCATTTGGGGGGTGAACCAACGGAAGGAAGACCTCTCTCTCTAACTCTGTCAAATAAATAAAAAATTAGATATAAACATGCAAAACTCATTTGGACCTACTGAACCTCTTCAGTCATGGACTTCTGCCCTCTCAGTTTCTTCTGTGGTGTTGTGGAGAGCACTGACCCATCTGCATGCCCCTCTTTGTCCCTGACTACTGAAGCCTGCATGAGTCTGTTTTCCTTGGATTCGCCCTGTGGACACCAGCCAGCTGTGTAACCATGTGAGGCTGAGAATGGGCTTGATGGCCTGGCACCTGTTTTGCTTGGTTTGGGAACTGTTTAGTCACACAGCAGAGAAACACTGGGGGAGGAGAGAGAAGCAACCTCTTTGGAACTGAAAGTCGTTGGTAGGCCCCAGCCTACATGGAGCAGAAAGGAGGGCTGTTTGCCTCCTTTGGCCCCCATGGCATTGCTGGGTGTATAAAGCATTGCTGGTTCAAGAAAAGAAGGGATCATGCACTTGAGGCAGCTGAATGGGCCTTGAGCCCTGGAGGCACTGGGCCTCCCACTTTCAAGTTCTCAGGTCCCACGTGTTTGGGGAAGAATTAACAGAGCCTATGGCCTGCCCCACTCTCTTCTTATTATTATTTGTTTTTTCTTAAGATTTTATTTATTTATTTGACAGGTAGAGTTACAGATAGTGAAAGAGAGAAAGGTCTTCCTTCCGTTGGTTCACTCTCCAAATGGCCACAATGGCCGGAACTGCGCCGATCCGAAGCCAGGAGCCAGGTGTTTCCTCCTCGTCTCCCATGCGGGTACAGGGGCCCAAGCACTTGGGCCATCTTCTACAGCTATCCCAGGCCATAGCAGACAGCTGGACTGGAAGAGGGGTGGCTGGGACTAGAACCGGTGCCCATATCGGATGCCAGCGCCACAGGCGGAGGAATAACCCAGTGCGCCACAGCGCCGGCCCCCCCACTCTCTTCTGAGCTGCTCTCTGGGGCTGGGGACCTGGGGTCAGTTGTCCATATTGCCAGGGTGGTGATTACTGTTCATGCCTTCAGCGCCAGGATCGTGGTGCCCAAGGAGCAGCCTAGGGTGCCTACTGAGCTGCAGGAGTGGCCCTGGTATGTGTGTGTGGTGAGACCAGGACTGGGTCTGCCCCTTGTTTGGTCTTAGAACTGTTCATTTTAGAAATGGCACAATGACACTGTGGCATAGTAGGTTAAGCCTCTGCCTGTGGCATCATCATCCTATAAGGGACACCAGTTCAAGTCCCGGATGCTCCACTTCCAATCCAGCTCCCTGCTAATCACCTGCGAAAGAAGTAGAAGATAGCAAAAGTGCTTGGGCCCTGCACTCATGTGGGAGACCTGGAAGAAGCTCCTGGCTTTGGATTGGCCCAGCTCAGGCCGTTGTGGCCATTTGGGATGAAAGACTTCTGTCTCTCCTGTCTGTAACTCAGCCTCGCAAATAAATAAATCTTAAAGAAAAATTGGCACAGAGGTCCCAAGTCACGGGCCAGAGCAGAGGGTAAGACTGTATCAGGAGCACCCTGAGATCCCAGGCTCCCAGGCTCCCTGTCTGCAAGAGTAGGGCAAAAGGCAGATGTGCTCTTGTTGCTTCTCCACCCGAGGTTTCAGTCCGAATGGCTGCAGGGAAGCAAGGACTCCAGGGAGGTTTTAACCCTGGTTACTGACAGGGCTGGGAGAGCAGCTCCACCTGCAGGCATTTCCTGTCCTCAGTCAGGACCACTCTCTGAGGTCCTTCCCTGCCTCCCACCCCCACATATGCTATTATGGTCACTGGCCCGGCTAAGCCTCTCCCACCTCACCTCAGCCTGCCCCACCTGCTCTGTGCAGCAGCAGATGGTGGGGTGAGTGTGACAGGGAAAGTTCTTGGTTCTGGTGCTGAGCTTGCCTGAGTCCAGGGTGTTCAGTGGGATCAGAAACCCTCAGTGTCTCTCAGGCACAGAAGGTCATGGCCCTAGGAGCTCCCCATGTCTGCCTCACTGTGGGAACTTGACTCTGAGTGAGGCTAAACCCCCTAAGTACAGCAAGGTTTCCAGGGGCTTTGGTGAGGCAGGTCAGGGGTGACAGCCATGGCTGAGGAGGAGGGGAGGAGCCAGGGAAGCCAGTGGGTACCCATCATGGCGCTGGCGCAAGTGGATGCTGGGAGCTCCTGTTTGCTTCTTCCCAGACCTTGTTATTCACAAGTTCCACCGTCATGGGAGTCACAATTTTCCCTCAGTCATGTGCTGTTTGCATGCATGCCACTGAGTGTTCAAAACCAACACCATAAACCCAGAGCCACTGCAAATTTACTGTGGGTCAGGGGTTGCTTGCATCCAGCTGTCCTGCGTAAAGGGGACAACTGGAGGAGTGGGTGGTGGCTGCCAGGGTAAGGACTTCATTCTCTGGTGTCAGAGTCCACTGGAAAGACTGGGAGCCTAAGCCCATGCATGGTATCATCAGGCCAGGAGAGGGCTGCAGGTGCCCCTGTGGCATGTCGTGGCCTCCTCTGCCTGGAGCTGCTCCCATCTCGGCTCTGGGTTTCTGGGATTTCTCTTCACAGCATCATTTGCTTCATCAAGAGGTTTGCTTTGGGTTCAAGTCCCAGATCTCTCTAGTGGCTACAACAACCAGCCAAGCTTTCCTTCCCCACTCATCTGCCCAAGCATTTAGGTGTGGAACCTGAGTGCCTGCTGTGCTTTTATTGCACTGTCAGTGGGGTCTGAGTGTGGCCATGACAGCAGGGCCAAGGGAGGCAGGTGTCTGAGGCACCAACCCCCGCACACAGGGACTCTCCAAAACGGCTATGCTGACTTCCCATGGAAAGGTTATCCGGTGAGTGGGGTGCAGAAGGCTGAGAATGGGGAGGCAGCGGATAAATGGGAGTGCACGGGGTTTCCTGCTCACTTCTGCTGTGACCATAAGCCTGCCCTAAAAATAGACTTTATTTATTTTTAAAAGTTATCAGGAAAGAACTACAGTTGGTCAGAGGTGATTAATAACTAATATCAATATTGCATTGTTAATACATTCTTATTGTAAGGTATTGATGAGTAAAGAACAATGAATAATATACAGCTGTTCTTTAATGCTCAATATACAATCAACAAGTTCTGATCAGAAGTATAAACCATATAAAAAGATTCTTACCTTGCATTTGTACAAACACTGCTTTCATCATTGCAAAACTTTACAAGATTAAAACGTACCACATGTAGAAGCTGTAAAGTTACTGCTGTCTGTAGCTAATCCGTCACATCACAATCTCTCCCAGCATCCCCAGATCCATGGGGCCTCTGAATTTCCAAGAGTCTGTCACAGCAAGATTATTCTGTAGGCAGATCAGGCCAACAGGGTTTCCTTTTTTAGAGTAAGCGAACACACCTGCAAACATCTGTGTGTAAGCTTCCCTTGCAAAGTCGCCTTCGAGGTGGCAGGGCGAGGCTCAGTCCCTCTGCAGTAGCTCAGGGGCCGCATTGTGGCTGGGCAGAGGAAGATACAGCCTGTATGCCATTCTTAGCTCAGGTCAACTTTTGAAAAAATACAATTCTTCTTCAAGCAAGAATCCTGGTCTTGGATTCTTCTTTCTGAACCACCAACTCCTGGTGCAGTCCTCCCAGTCTGCCCTTTGTACCGTGACTGACAGTCAACCTTCTTTCACTCCCAACAACGGCCCTGGCGGCACAGGCCTCAAGAGTATTCATTATTGCTATCTTACTTCCAAACCACCTCTGACAGAGGCAGCGAGCTCAGGAAATGGGAAAAGAAGTCTGTTTTATGTTTCCTTTGCTTTCCTCCCCTGGCTGGACATTGTCTCCTCTTGTGCTTGGGCACCCATCAGGGAAGCCCTGACCAACTCTTGATTCCCAGTGGCAGATGCTGAGGTCTGGGTGGCTCAGAGTCCTCTGGGCCCGGGTATTACCTACAGCTTCAGAATTTGCCTGCAAGTCCAAGTCTCCCGACTGGCAATCCCTGAGCATGCAAAAACACAGATGCCAGGTCTCACCCCTAGAGGTTCACCGTGTTTCACTGGGCTCCGGTACAGCTGGGGTTCAAGGCCTCTGAAAGGTCCCCTGTGATGTCACTGCAGCCAGGGCTCACAGGCTCCTCTCTAGGTGGCCATGCATGGAGCTGGTGGCACTGCTGGTGCATTTCCTCAAAATCCCAAGTGACCAAAATTATGGTGATCATTAGTAGGCTCTCGAGATATTTCCAGTCTATACTGGTAAATGCATTATCAATTGTAAATACAAAAATAAAATCATTTGCCTTGGCAGTATACTAAATCAACCAACAAAGTGTCTGTCGCTGCCTTTCTTACATTCACAGGGGCCAGCTGGCCGAGGAGCTGGGCTCTCCCAGGTGAGACAGCTGCCCCTTTCCGTGACACGGCCCCAGGTGGACCAGCACTACGCTGGGCTGCTTCTTGTCCTGTCTGACCTTATACAATATTACAGAAACAACAACTCTGCTCTTCACCACACCAGCAGCCAGCTCTGCTCTGTGGCGAGGCAGTGCCCTGCACAGGGAGAACAGTCTTACTTCTAAGTATCTCATTCTTTTAAACACAGATCTGAGTTCCAAATTTCGATGCTGTTGCAGACTTCCTAAACTGTTTTAGTAGAAAAATGAGTTTCCTAAAAATATACTTTACAAAGTTCAGTGCTACATAACAGGACAATATCCCACAGAAAAGTTACAAAAATAGATTTGTGTTAAAAATCCCATTTGAATGTTTCTCTAATAGGCATGAGAGGTGTGGCTGGGAAAAAAGGCAGGGGCTCATGTTCATAGGTTTATAGGTAAGGACATATAAAAAATGTGCTTATCAGAGGGAAGAGCCCGCAAGTACCTTCAGGGCAATTCCACTTAAAGGGGAGCAGCTCAGCCAAGCTGGGGCTGATGCTTTTATAACCTACTTCTCAGGAATGCAAAGTGTCCCAGGGCTCCATCCAGGCTCAGATTGGGGCATTTGCATTTTCAGGATAAACTGCTGGTGGCAGGGACCAGGGACTTGCAGAGGCTTCTGGCAGGCACAGCAGCCCCTGACAACTGCGCCTTGGAGCCTGACAGCTAGCTCCAGCCCCACAGCTCGCATGAGCAGGGCTATATTTTACTCATTTTTGTGTCTTCACTGCTGACGCAGGTACCATATTGCAGAGCATGATGGATGGACCTGAACATAGTCTTATTTCCACTGAGACAAAAGCAAGTATTCTTGTAATAAAAGTGTGAGGCCTTGACCCACTTGAGAGATGTGTGATTTAGGTGCAAGGAAGCTGTGTGTGTGTGGCATAACTCTTCTGCAGCCTGAAAATCCTGCCTGAAACACTCTCTCCTTGACTACCTGGGCAGCAGAGGTCCAATAAGTATCTGGAGCGTGCGCTGCACTGACATCAAGAGCGGACCCTCCAAGAACAGCAAAATTATTTCAGTAGGGAAATTTATTTTCTTTAAGCTATCCGTAGGTGTTGTGAAAGTTTCATCATGAACTTCAAATTCTGATTTCCTATTCCCCACTCGAATCCCATGCTACTCAAAATGCATTCCTCCCTCTGGAGAGGGCAGTCAGTGCCTGCAGTGGCCTCAGGCCTAAAACCCTTCTTACACAGGTCAAGGAGAGAGGAGGGCCTTTGGGGCAGTTCACCATGGAGGGATACAGATTCTTTTGAGCAAAACAACTGTTCAAAGTAAAAGGAAATGAAAATCCCCTGCTAGGAGCCTCAACTAACTTGGCAGGGGAGAGGATAAAGGCTGACAGGGTCTGACGAGCAGCTTCATTTCTGAGGCCTTGCAGCAGGTGCCCACAGAACTTGCGTCTGTCAGACACGGGGGTTTAGGGGCTATGCACTGTGCATTATTCCCTCTAACTGAAAGCTGTTGCGCTGGACACTGATGAGTCAAATGGGCTTTTCCCTGCCACAAAGGGAAAGTATACTGAGCTCTGAAACAGTGGAAGGGAAAATAAACAAGTCCAACACACACACAGCACAGGTGAGCTACTGGGGACTGCGAACCACGGAGACATTTATACACAGGTGAGTGTGAGAAAGAACCCGTCTTCCTCACCCGCAGGGAGACAAAGTGGCTTTTCCTGCTGTACCTGCCACGGGTTCACACAGGCCAGGGGGTCTCCTGAATATTCAGTCTGCTTGTGATGGCAGTGTCTTGAAGAAGTGCCAGTGCTCTGGTCTTGGCTGGAAGGTGGAGGCCTGTGCACGCTGGCCTGGATCACCTCGTGCTGCAGGTGTCACACGAGAGCTCCCTCCTTGCAGGCATCCATTGCAATCAACACCGATTAACACCCAAGGGTCCCCAAGCAGAAAGTGCCCAAGGATGTTCATGTTTTTCAAATATCCCTTAGCGCCAGAAAGGAACATCATTCTTGCTAGACGCCCTTTGGTGGAAGCTTCCGTCTTCAGACAAGGGAACGTACCTGCAGCCTCCCAAAGCACACCTCAGGGGTGTGCCCTTCCAGGTTCCAGGAGGGGCCACTCAGCTCAAGTATGGCAAATGCAGGGCTGGAGCAGCTGCTGTGCCTTGGCCCTGGTGTCTGAGGTCTGGACGCCGTGGCCAGTGCTGTCCTCCAGGTCACGCTGTGGTAAATTCACGGCCTGGTGGTGCTACCCTTAGGTATTCTGCGTTTTCAGCCGTAGGACCCTTGAAGATGCCATTCAGCTTGCCATCCTTGGGAAAAAAGTCTTGCTGGTAATCGGGGTTGTCCAGGCTCATTTGGTGGCTGCCCTTCTGGGCCCAGGGGGTGGGGCTGTCAAAGATGCCATTGGGACAGGGAGGCTGGGTGGTGTTGAGATATTCAGGGTTTCCCACTGCGCTGCTGTGGGGATCCTGGTAGTGGGGGTCTCTGCCCGGAGCCGGGTGCAGAGGCTGGTTATGGTAGACAGGGTTCTGCACAGAGCCTGCAGGCCTCTTGGGAATGTACTGGTTTATGTATTCTGAAAAGGAAAGGAAGCAAATCAGCAAAGCTTCATCTCAAGTAGTGTGCCCCGCTCACTGGGAACCTGTGCATGTCCTCAGCAAAGCAGCTGATGACAGGGGCACCGGCACCTTTTACAGGGCCACCTTGCTCTCACTGTCTCTCAAACCAATGGAGTGCGGATCTTTTGAAATTTAAAGTTCTCAGAGACCAGCCTGCCTGAGACACAGACAGAGAGGAGGGAGGGTGGGAAGGGAACATTCACAGTCTGGGAGCTTCTGGGGTGGAGCTTCGATGAGCTCAGTGTGTGCATCACAGGGCAAGAATGGAGTCAGGGGAGAGAAGAGGGATCCAACCTGCCATGTATACACGTAGAAGGGGCTTCGCAAAGTAGTGTTTTTATAAAAAGAACATGGCTTTCAAAAATGTATTACAGTAAAATAAACTTATCTTTCATGAACTTTTTGAAGTCCCCTCAATTGTTCCCATGCACACATACATGTATACACTGGCTGTTCGCATACATGCACACATATATGTCTTGGTTATTCACATGCACACATGTATCTTTGCTGTTCATGCAGAACACATGCATACATGTGTATCTTGGCCATTCACATGCCATACATGCATGCATACACGTGTATTTTGGCCATTCATGTACTGCATGCACATACACACATGTACCTTGGCTGTTCATGTATCACATACATGCACACACATGTGTATATCTCGGTCATTCATGTACCATGCATGCATGCACACACACATATATCTTGGCTTTTCACATACCATGCACACATGCGTACATACACACCCATTATCTCAACTATCCTTATACCACACACACATACAGATATGCATATTTTAGTCATCCACATAACACATGCATACACATACACACACGTGTACATCTTGGTTGCTTTACAGTCTAGGAAATCTGCAGATTCGTTCTTAAAACAACCTGCAGTTGGCCGGTGCCGCGGCTCAATAGGCTAATCCTCCGCCTGCAGTGCTGGCACACCGGGTTCTAGTCCCGGTCGGGGCGCCAGATTCTGTCCCGGTTGCCCCTCTTCCAGGCCAGCTCTCTGCTGTGGCCCGGGAAGGCAGTGGAGGATGGCCCAAGTCCTTGGGCCTTGCACCCGCATGGGAGACCAGGAGAAGCACCTGGCTCCTGGCTTTGGATCAGCGCGATGTGTCAGCCGCAGCGCGCCAGCCCCGGCAGCCATTGGAGGGTGAACCAACGTCAAAAGGAAGATTTTTCTCTCTGTCTCTCTCTCTCACTGTCCACTCTGCCTGTCAAAACAAAAACAAAAACAAAAACAAAAACAAAAACAAAAAAACAACCTGCAGCACACAACCCAGACACACTGGGCTCAACACGAAGGTCCTGGCATTCCTAGTCATGTTGCATGCGTCTGCTCCATTTTCCCTTCACTGTTCTGTGAAGTTTATTGTCTCACCTTATGATAAGCTGAAAGGAGGCACCTGGCTTAGGTACCAAGGGTGAAGATCCTTGCCTGTTTGCAAAGTGGGCCACTCACCAGGCACTGGGAGAAACGTGTCATCCATGCTGTCCTCAGTCACGCCACCAGTGGGGTCTGAGCTGTACCGCTGCAGGAGGCTGTCTTCCTTGACAGGATAGCTCTGCTGAGGAGGGAATCGGGCATGATCATTCAAGCTGACGGGACTCACACATCAATATGCACAAAAACCACCTGAACTGACCCAGGAGATGTGGGTAGGGCTGGGGGTCCCACTTATCTGACGGGCCCTGTGGAGTCACCACGCTGCTGGACCACTGACTGCAGGGTAGTTCCTCTGCAGTAGGGGGACACTGAACACGCGTGTGGGGAAGCGTGTTTCACACATTTCATTTTATCTAAACTTCCAGCAGTCACGCGGCCTGTGGCTTTACTTCATCAAGCACCAGCTGCACCAGAGTCATCCACTCAGACTACTGGGCTCCACTCCCAAGGTCCTGGTCTGGCTCGTCCAGGGTGTTGCTTGAGGGTCTGCATTTCTCAGAAGCTGTCTGGTGACACTGGTGCTGCCACCCACAAGCCACGCTTTGAATGATGCTGTGATATGTGACAGTGGGCTGCTGGCCTTGGGATAGGGGCCATGAAAACCAGGCAAAGAAAAACCAATGCAGGAAGAGAAGTCAGATTGGTTAAGACAGGCGCTTGATCTGTGGTTGTGACTCTGGTTCATGAGGCTTTCACACATACCCCGTTCCTATCCACACAAGCCATGGTGGAACTGTTGCTGGTCGCACTCTGAAAAACAAACAGAGGAGCTGTTCAAGGCTCACTGGTGACTCACCTGCTCCACGATGTAAGAGGTGGGGTATGTGGAGTGGAACTATATGAAGGTGCTTAATTTTTGTCTTTAATCATTACCTGCACAAAATCTAGCGTTGGTTTAATTCTCTTCCTTAATGGACCCCAAAGCTAGTTGAGGTGTTGCAATACAATGTGGTGGATAATACACTTACGTGGTTCATTCGGAAAGCACTTTAGGATTTGGTTAAAATTTACTTCTCTGTGCCTATGTGAGTTCGCCTAGATGGTTCTGACCAGTAAACACAGCTCGAGAGAGAGAGAGAGAGAGAGCAATTTCATACCAGAGAGCTTAAGAGCGGCGTCCGTGATGTGGAGGGGCTGTTGAAGAAGCCCTGCTGAGGAATGAGGTACTCGTCAGCATCTATGACGTCGCCCATGTCTTCTTCGTCCATCAGGGCACGGTAAAAATTGGAATCTGTAGGGCTTGGCAAATGCATCCGCTCATCCCCCTAGGGCAGAGATTTTGAGAGCATTAGAATGGCTCACAGAGATGTTATTCTATTTCTTGGTTACAGGATTAGGTCTACCAGTCAGCAGGTGCCTCTGTTTGCCACTTTAGTCATAGTAACCCCTCTTGTTCTCTGAAGAAAGATGCTCACCCCACTGCACATGGATGCTTTGAAACCAAGCATCAAAAAGTCTCTGAGATGCACACAGAGAAGGCGGCTCAGAAGGGGAGGGGTGTCGTTTACGGGAGCGTTGTGCTGTGACATGGCCTGAAGAATACTATACAAAAATGATTTCACCAAATCCTTGAGACAGCCCCACGATCTGGCTTTGCTATTCCCCTACTAGGGAAGGGGATTGGTGGAGAGGTTGCCTGATGGACCTAGGGGAAAGAGGCCAGTCAAGGAGGTAAAGAGAGGTTTGCTGGCCACCAAAACTTGGGCTTCATGTTCAGTGTACCTCAGCTGAGGCTGCTCCACTGCACCAGGAGCCAACAATGGGAGTGTGGGGACACAGGGACTCTGATGCTCAGTACAACAGGCACTGCTGTGGTCTGGTACCTGAATGACAAGGTAACGCTGAGGGTCTCGGGCCATTTTGGAAAATTCCACAATCAACTCCCGGAACTTTGGGCGACTGTCAGCATCTATCATCCAGCCTGAGGAAGGAAACGGAGAAAGGACAGTGGTGAGCAAAGCTGGGCTCTGTGCTGGACTCCTCACTCCTGGCATGGCAGGACAGCATTCTCAATCTGAATCAGAATCAGATCTTCTAAACTTTTCTCTATCTATTCCTCCTAGGGTTGGCGTCTAGTGCCCCTGTGACTTGCAGTCCTGTCTGTGAGCAGCTCTGACCTGGGGTACCTAGCATTTGCCAAAGCCCCCACTTGACATTCAGCCACAGCACTCTCTCAAGCTGGAAGCCAGATTCAGCTTAGAGAAAAGGGAAGGCCTTCAGGGCCGCAGGTTGTGCCCTCCCCACCCAATGCTTCCCCCAGATCCCTCAGTCAGCACTGACTCAGACTGGAAGGAGCTGTGTGAGAGCCCCCTCACCTGGGGTGCTCTTGACAGACAGGCTGCTGCATTTGGTGGCTCAAGGATCCCAGTCCAGAGTAACTGAGTTGGAGAAACAGCCCCAGAGTGGCACTCACTGACTCCGAGGGTTCATGTTTATTTTCCATAAGCAGATGTCAAGCTATTTTAGGCCAGACTGCTATGTGACCTCAGACAAATCAGGTGACCTCTCTGTTTCCCAGCTTCCGCAACCCAAACCAAGTTAAAATGGATGAGCCCTGCGGTCTGAGGTTCAGAGGGGTGTTGACACTGACACCAGCTGTGTCAGAATCCCCTCATGCCTTCCTTGTCAAAGGCTTCCTGTCTGGGTGGTGTTGGCTCCAGAGCCTACTGCACATGTGGTTCTGGTGGAACAAGTATTAAGAGATCACATTCTCTACTAGCTTAAAACATTCAAACGCCACACTGTTGAAGGCCTCATATAAATCTACTCAAAGTTGTAAGTCACAGCAGCAATGCTGATCCTTGCCGCTTCTTGTGGTTACTCATTGTTAGGCTTTTAAAAACATTCTGTCTCTCCGGTAACAGTCTTCAAAAAATGTGACAGCTTAGTACTTCATTGAGCAACTCAGAAAATAGACCATTTTACCCTAAGAGTTTACGGAAGATTTTGATTTACTTTTTGGTTTGCAAATGTCAGGTCACACTGCTCAATGAGTCAAGCAAGTGCTCTTTCAGGAACGCATGCAGAGGCATTTATGGAAGTTTCTGGAAGGTGTCCTGCCTTGAGAATGTGGCAACGTTTCCCCTAAGGAACAGAGGCCTCAACTGTTTGCACAAGGATAGCAATGCCTTTGCAGGCATGATAAAGTGCAATGAGGCGAGCAAGGATGGCCTCTCCAGTCACTCACACTTGACCATGATCATGTAGACGTCAATAGTGCAGATGGGGGGCTGTGGAAGTCGTTCTCCTTTCTCCAGCACAGACGCGATCTCACTGGCAGGGATTCCGTCGTAAGGCTTGGACCCAAAGGTCATCAACTCCCAAACGGTGACTCCTGCGGGGCAAAGGAAGCAAGCAGAAAAGCAAACACATTAGAGGTCAGTGACCATCAGAGACCCTCATCTCGAGCCACACTACAGGGGTCAGTGACCATCAGTGACCTCACCTAGAGCCGTACCACAGGGGTCAGTGATGGTCACAGCCTCATCTACAGCCACACCACAGGGGTCAGTGATGGTCACAGCCTCACCTAGAGCTGCACCACAGGGGTCAGTGATGGTCACAGCCTCACCTAGAGCTGCACCACAGGGGTCAGTGACCATCAGAGACCTCATCCTGAGCTGCACCACAGGAGTTAGTGCCAATTGCAGAGCTTCATCTTTAGTAACCAAGTTGATTGCTGCTTCTCGATGCTAGCACACAAATATCTCTGTGGCTCTGGGAGCCTCCGTTACCTTTGTCGAGTGGGGCAACAACAGTGTCTTTCTCAGAGAGTGTGGGTGAGGGTCGAAGCACAGGACAGAAGTGACACACGTAGTGCAGTGGCTGGCAGCAAGTCACTGACAGATGGTCAGCGTAAGCTGGTAACCACACCGTGACACTGGCTTTCCTAACATGCCGTCTCTGCCCTAGGGAACTTGCATTTTCAGTGGCAGGAAGCTGGGGATTCTGTGATCTTAGGTAATAGAAAAGCAAACACAGAGACCTGCGTTCCTGTTGATGCACACAAAAATCTTAACCACATATCATGATTAACACCAAACCAAAGCAGCAGTGATTTTAGAGTTGGTGGTTTTCAGATGACTGTGAGTTCACACAGTACTCTCATCGTAGAGCTCAGGTGATGAGATTCTCTGCTCTAGAAATGTGCAGAGGCCAGTGAGCAGTGCTTCCTTAATCCCCATGGCTATCCCCTCCTCCCAGCACCTGTGTCCTGCCCCAAGATGAGTTCAGTGCAAATGAGCCCTGGATCCCAACTTCCCCAGGAGGGAGAGACACAAGATCCTGTTCTCCAAGCAGCCCAAGGGCCCACTCTCCTCAGACCTGGCCTCCAGATCCATTTTTCCACAGCCTTTCCTCAACAGAACCGCCTGAATTAATCCAGAGAACAGGGCTGGAATGAGGAGGAAGCAGTGGCCCAGGAGCAGGAACACAGTCAACCCAGTCTTGTGGAAGAACTCTCATTTCCAGACTGGACTGATTCTTACTTGGTTTCTCACCTAGCACAGTTTACTCTGGTCAAGGAGTGTTCTTCAGGTTTCAGAAAAGTAGTAAGAGTAGGGTGGGGTAGCTAGTGGGGTCTGCAGGGACTAGAAAGGCTGTTAGTTCTCCAACTCCTTACGAGAACACACCAGGTCCCAGAGGCAGTGACACACGTGCATGGAGGTAGCACTTCAGAAAGCCTCATTTTTATACTGGAAGACTGTTCCGCCATGGTTCTCTCAAGTTTGGCTTCGTTTCCAGGCAGATGGGTTTCCTACACTGGAGCACACACCCCTCCTTTCCCACTCCTGTGACCCTGTTCCCTGCTGGAGGGAGTCACCAATGTCTCCAGTGAGGCAGAGACGCCTGGTTAGGCCCCATCCTCTGTTGGTTTCCTCAGTGCAGTAGGCCGCAGCTATTGTTTGACTATTAGTCATGGTCTCGAAAGAAAGCACTCACTGTCAAAGCAAATAACAAACAGCTCAGCACAGGTCCCCTACGTCAGGACTCACTCACCGTAGCTCCAGACATCACTCTGGTGGGTGTAAATCCGGTGTAAAATCGATTCCAAAGCCATCCACTTGATGGGGACCTTGGGGAGATGGGAGAGAAGCAGTAAGATCAGTTTCCCTCTACTGATGTGTTGTGCCACCCAGGACCGAGTGCCAGGACACTGCCCTGCTGGGCCCAGGCCAGAGTCCCCCCAGCAAGAGGAGATTTTAAATCTGGGAGAATAGGTGGGCCCTGGAAATTCAGGGTCTGCTTCCTGAATACTCAGCAGAGGTCCCCGGGGCTGTGGGCCCTTCAGGGAAGCCAGGTATCATCCAGTGTTTAGGGTCTTCAGGAGTCTGTCAAAGGCTTGATGCTGCCTGCATCGAGGGCCAGAGGGAGGCCTGGGAGGGTACACTGATGTGCTGAGGCACTGTGGGAGGGCAGAGAGCCTGCGCCTGCCCGGGAGAAACCCCCAAGCCCAGCAGAGGGGAGGGGCCAGGCATGAGTCACGGGGCCATGGGGCTTTCTGGTGAGCTCTCTCAGCTGCTCCTGTTGGGGGGCTGACAAGATCTCCAGAGCCCTGAGGCAGAGCTGCACTTGGCCCTGCAGTCTCAGAAACACCCCTCCCCACAGCCAGAAGGCCTAGCCAGACCCACAGGCAGTGGCTGTCGTGTGACCTCACTGACAACGCAGGGCCACCGGCCGACCCTGCTGGAGCTCAGGGTGGTGTCAGGACTGGGACCCTGGCCATGGGCAGGCTCTTACCTTGCCCCCCTCTGCATGGTATTCTTTCTCCTCTGCACCGAGCAGCTTGGCCAGCCCAAAATCTGTGATCTTGACGTGTTGCGGTGTCTTTACCAGCACATTCCTGGCAGCCAGGTCGCGGTGCACCAGACGCCGGTCCTCCAGGTAGTTCATGCCCTGGAATGTGGGGAGAAAGTGAGGGCGGTTCACTTGAGGGCACGGGGCTTCCAGTTGCTAGACCCTGCATGCAAGTCCCTGTTCTTGGCACCACAGCTGCCCCAAATGACCCAGCCACCCTGGTTCTTCTGACCCAGGAGAGGCCAGCAACGGGCATGAGCTCAGTGCTGGACGCCTGCTCAGGGAGCGCTGCCTGCCTACACTGCCACTGCCCCGTGGTTTCTGTGGGAGGCGGGGCGGTCAGAGCAGACCTCACCAGGCTGCGTCCTTTCACACCATTCCTCTCCCTGGGCTCCGCTGGGCCCCCTTACACGATTCACAGAGGATGTGGGTCCAGTTATCCTAACATGTGGATGCTTAGTGTGCTTTAAAAGGTGCCCTGGCCATACCTCTCTGGCCACCACTGCAGTTGTGTGGAGCCACAGCCACTGCTGTGAGCAGCAGCCATGCCGTGCCCTGAGCACAGCCCTTGCCCTCAGTCTTCTGGTGTCCTTGTCACATGCAGACAAGGTCACTTCTGACCTCAGCTTCTCCTGGCTCCACATCTGCCGTGGGCAAAACGCACTGAGCTGTGACCTGCGCCTCTTCTGTGCCATCACACTCCCCTCACAGGTGCCCCACCCCTGCTCCTGGGCAAGCCACCTTCTCACTTCCTCTGTGATTCCTGCTCCCACTCCCCCACTCAGTGACCAGCTCTGTTGTTTGCTGGGGTTTCTGTGGCCATCTTAGTGCAACTGCAGGGGCTCCCTGTGGATGAGGATGGCTTCCCAAATCTTCTGGCAAATTCTTGGCTTCTTTTTGCATACAAATGAGGAGAAAATTATGAATTGACTTGGTATATCAGCGTGAAATCTTGGAATTTTTATTTCTACAGCAAAACCAGCCATCTGGATATTACCAAGAATTAGTTGTCTGGCACCATTTTTGAGGCTTGTTTCTCTCTTCTTGGGAACACAGGGTTGCCTCCCTGCCTCATGGACACATGATCTAGTTCCTTCCCGTGTTACCCAGAAATCTGAATGTCAAGGTGCGCTGCTGTAAATGCTTCCCTTCCCAAGTTCTTTGCATGCAGGGAAAGAAGATTATCAGGGCCCCTGTACACTGAGAGGAGACAGCAGCACCTCCGTGCTAGAGGGGTGGGGGAAACAGCAGAGGAAATGCTTCCAGCCTGTGAGCTCCCTCTCAAGCTGGTTCCTTCCCTCTACTTCGGTCACCCCTGTTGAAGTAGGGGAGCCCTGGGAACCCTGTCTCTTATGAGAGGAGTTGAGACTCTCTTACGAGAGTCTGTTGAACTGATCAGCACTGATCCTCTGGGAAAAGCTAGGATGCTTGGCCCTTGCCTGGCGAGGCCCAGGATCTGTGTTCCAAGCTGCACTGGCTCCGTGGCCCTCGTGGACCACTGCCCCCGATCCCTCTCCCTCGTGCATATTCTTTCATTCCTCACCTCATGCTGGCTGAAGGCTTCTTTGTGGCAGATGTCTCTATGCCTCTCTCTTTATTTAAAATGTGTTTTGTTTTTTTTTTTATAAGATCATGAAAACCACAGGGAGGACCTCAGAGAGCATTTAGCTCCCATCACTGGTGTTCCAGGGAATCCTGTACACTGCACACATTTCCACAACGGTTGGTTGAAGAATGGACTGCTCAGGATTGAGGAGGTCCCAGCCTTTTCAGACACAGTTGCATGGAATCTGCTTTCTGTCCAAGTCCCTACGACTGCCCTGTGGTCAACCCAGGGTATCCAGAGGCTGGCACTGTCAGGACCACACCTCAATTCTCCACTGAGGCCTCCGCGTGAAGCTCTATATGGGTTGCCAATATATAAATAAATAAATAAATAAATAAAATAAACAAAAGAGAGGGAAAAATAAATAAAAAAAATTTTAGTGCAGCCCTGTACCCTGAGCAAGCCCAGGTCACTGTGCAAGGCTGATAAACCTACTGAGGCCACTCAGCCCTATCTACCCACAGGCCCAGAGCAACTTCTCTATACAGTGTGAGGTTTTATCGAAGCCTCCATCTGCAGAGAAAGCTCCAGAGGGTCTTAAATCAGAGAACAAGTGGGGACAACAAGATTAGGCCCATTTGAACTCAGAAAACTCTGTAATCTCTGTCCACACGTTGGTGGTCTGAAAGGCCATTTGCATACCCAGCAGCCACATGCTACCCAGTGGGCTACAATTAGGGACTCTGACTCCTGACACTGACACTGGAGTAAGGTCAGCACAGGCCTCAGTGGGGCCACTTGGAAACTCAGTTGCTGCTTCTTCTCCAAGATCCTCAGCTTAATTGAATTAAAACACTTTTTTTGTTAATTACTTCAAGATAGCTAGAGGGAATTTTGAAATACTGAGGTTGAAAGGGAAATGAAGGAGGCTCCAGCAACTTCAGTTTAAAGATGCACACAGCAAGTCTGAGGAAAAGGTGTCTGAACCATAGTCTAAGTAGCTTTATTTATCACAGGGCTTTGCAGTAATGTGGTTCGTGGGACAGTGCTTTCCAACCTGGATAATAGGGTCTTTGGATCAGACACGGTCTAAGATTACTGTGCTGTGTGCTGGGAAGAGTAGATACACTTTCTCATGTAGCTCATTCCCTACCAGTGTGCAAAGTTTCCCAGTGGGCCAGCAGGTGGTATCTCCATAAACTATGGAGACTGGTTTTTGCTTTTAAATTCCAAAGAGGGAGGGAGAGAGGGAGTAAAGGAATGGGGTTGTGGAGGAGAAGGAGGGAGAGAGTGCATGAGCTCCCATCTGCTGGTTCACTTCCCAAATGCCTGCAATATCCAGGGCTCAACAAGATAAAGCCAGCAGCCAGAAACTCAATCTGAGTCTTCCACGTGAGTAGCAAGTACCCAAGTTCTTTAGCCATCACATGCTGTGTTCCAGGGTGTGCATTAGCAGGAAGTGGGATCAGAAGCGGAGCTGGGGCTTGAACCTAGGCCCTCTGCTATGGGATGAGGGTGTCCTAAGCAGTCTTTTTTTTTTAAGATGTATTTATTTGAAAGTCAGAGTTACACAGAGATAGAGTAGAGGCAGAGAGAGAGAGAGAGAGAGGGAGGGAGGGAGGGAGAGAGGGAGGGAGGGAGAGAGGGAGGGAGGGAGAGGGAGAGGGAAAGACAGAAAAAGAGAGAAAGAAAGAGAGAGAGAGAGAGAGAGAGATCGATCTTCCATCTGCTGGTTCATTCTCCAATTGGCTGCAAAAATTGGAACTGCATCGATCCGAAGCCAGGAGTCAGGAGATTCTTCCCAGTCTCCCATGCGGTTGCAGGAGCCCAAGGACTTGGGCCATCTTCTACTGCTTTCCCAGACCATAGCAGAGGTGGATCAGAAGTGGAACAGTCGGGTCTCGAACCAGCGCCCATATGGGATGCCGGTGCTTCAGGCCAGGGCATTAACCTGCTGCACCACAGTGCCAGCCCCTAGCAGTGTCTTAATCACTGTGCCACATACCTGACCCTGGATTCTCATCACATGTGGCAGGGGCAGGCTCTTATGTCTGCCAATCCCACCTGGTCTCTTTTCCTTTTGCCTGGTTGATGTAACTTTATTCCCTTAGCAGTTGGGCCAGGATAATGAACTTTTCAAAAAGTAGCCAGCTCTCCCAGCAACACTTAGAAAACTTCTCCAGAGAGTTCATGGCTTTGTGAATCAACACAGGACATTCCTAAGTAAATGAATCCCACTTGAAAGTGACGGTCAGCTGCTAGTTGTTTCTGGGTGGTGTTACTTCAAACTCATGAAAAGCAAAGTGTTTAATACTCAAATTTTCTCTGCCCCAGAGCAAATCTCCCTCCAGAGACAGTTTCTGCATTAGCACAGCCATCTAGATGCAGGTGAGTACATTTTCTCTTGTGAATTAAAAAGCAAATCTATCACAAAGTGCTAGTGGCCCACAGTATGGAGGACTTCAAATCAAAATACAGCAAAGTGTAATGAGCCCAACAGTGGTTTTAAAGGGTGGGCTGGACTCAAGAGCAACGCTGTATAAAGGTAATGTGGGAGGGCCTTGGTGACTCAGGCGGTAGGTTCTTCTCTGGCGTGGGCCCTGCTGCACAAGGACCTGTGTTTCTCATCCTCTCATAAAAAGCTCATGTTAGGGGTCACGCAGATGTCCATTTATGCAGACACTGGAGGTCAGGCAGATGTCAATGCAAGATTGGGGGAGTCCACAGAGAAGCTGCCAGAGATCTAGATGAAGATGAGGTCTTGGGTTAAGTTCAGTCACTGCTCCATCCTCACAGAGCCAAGGGAAGAGGCAGGGAGGAAAGGAGTATTGAGCCAGCACTGGCAGGTGGTACAGGTGGCTGACCCAAGCCTTCCCACCTGGAGGACAGGGGATAGAGACGAGGTGTATAAGGACTCAGCACCCGGCCCAGCTTGCGTGGCTGGTGGATACTGGGTCAAGTTTGGAAGTCACCTGCAGGCCCTACCTGGGGTTGGGCAATGCTCCAAGACTGCCTGCTCCCTGTGGTGGAAGGAATGCCTGCATTTCACAGCAATGGGAGGCCCAAGGCAGTGGAGCTGGGCCTCAGAGCTGAGCTGCCAAATGTCCCAGCAGCTCTGGTGAGTGGGGCTTCTAGAGCTGGCTCCAGGTGTGCAGGGTTCTGTCCTCCATGCTGGGTGCAAACTCTAAGAAGCGATAAATATGGCTAAGAGCATGAAGCAAGGTACTAGGGGATGCCAGGGAAAGGAGGACCCTGCCTGTGCTAATCGGGGTGGACAGAGCTGCGTGGGAACTTCCGGGTTCCGGAGCCCAGACACACACAGCCCTTCAGAGACAGCTCCACATCCACCTCTCCCCAGACCAGCCTCTGAGGGAGGCTGATACAAGGGGACTCACCCAGGCCTCTGTGGGCCAGGTGTCCCTTGACATTGCCACTGTCTGAGGAACTTTGACAACAAAGTAAGCACTGACAGCCCTGACAAGGCCTGTCCACAAATCCTTCATGTTTACTGCGGGAAACACTCACTGTCAGGAAAAATGAGGCTGGAATCGGAGGAGAGAGAAGCTGGGGTGGAAGCACACAGGTCCTCTTGGGGTCACGGGGCAGCAGGGCTGGGCCTGTCAGCTCACAGCTGGGCTACCTGGCCATTTTGCTGGCCCAGTCCCTGCCTGGATCTGGAGCAGGCCTACCCAAAAGGGAGTGACTGAAACCCAGACAAGCAACAGGAGCCTGCTCACTGACTGTTCACATACAGCTTTAGCCCATTCGCTCTCCTGGTCAAGTCCCCCCACTGTAAACTACCATCAACATCACCAAAAAGGACTTCAGCAAATTAAAGACACAGCACCAAATTGTACTGAGCCCCCAGAAAACAAAAGAGCTGCCCAAATATAGCACTGATTGATTTTCCACATGCAGGTGCTGATAGTGGCACAGCAAGTCAATGAAATTTGATCCAAAATAAAGAAAAGTGCAGGTGGCGAGCACTCATCCCCCTCGGGCAGCACTCAGCCGTCCCAGCACGGAGGACCTCCCCACTCCTCCACACTCACTCCTGCTCTCCTCCTGCCTTTACTGACAGCCGACTGATTGATCCGCTTTGTTCTGGAAGCCGAGGGCAGGGAGCAGCCAGCTGAGCCCAAGTCCTTTGGGTAGAAACGTCTGCCCGGCTTTTCAGAGCCAGCACCTGCAGAGCCCCTCCCCCGAGTTTACCTTTGCAATCTGCACACACCAGTTGAGCAGGTGCTGGGAGCCGATGTTGTCTTTGTGCTCTCGGACGTAGTCCAGCAGGCAACCGAAGGGCATGAGCTGTGTGACGAGCTGCACAGTGGAGGTCAGGCAGATGCCCAGGAGGCGACACACATGGGGGTTGTCCACGCTGGCCATCACGTAGGCCTCCTGTGTGGGAGGGGAGGATGGTCAGAAAGAGGTCCACAGAGGCGAGAGGGACAGGCACACACAGGTAAAGCAGCATGAGATACACACTTCTGGATGTGGCTGGCCTACAGAACACCTGGCGCAGGGGGATTCTAGCAGGGTGAGCTACTGAGAGGTGGGTCCCTGGATAGTGATTCCATGGGCAGAGATTCAGGCCTATTTGCTGCCAGCAAATGTTGGCTCAAAGAGGGAGTCACTGATGTCTCTGAGTGGGGGTGCACTGTCATCTTCCCCGAAGACCTTTGCCTCAGAGCCAGGATGCAGGGGCGACAGCTGCCTGTGTGTGCAGGACCCCTCCCAGTGCTGTAGGCTCTGACAGGGGCACTCCCGCAGCAGGCGGCCCTCAGGGAACTTCCCTTCTCCAGAGATTTGGCTCTCACTGTGCCATGGGCGAGGGAAGGGCATTTGGAGCAAGGACCCTGCCCACGGCTCCTATGCAAAGCCCCCCTCAGCGCACAGAGAACACGCATAGAAGGACTGCAACCTTCCATAGCTTTAGGATCTGTCTCTGCACTGACGACCCCTCCCCTGCCTCCTGCTGCTCTGCACCCCATTCCCACCCTGCTAATGTGAGAGGCTGCCAAGTGGCAGCTCTGGATGCAGACTTAATTTTAACCCTTCTGCTATTCTTGGGCAAAGGAAGCTAATTTATTTGTAATTGTGCACACAAGGGGGCCTTCTCTTCTGAGAATCAGGAGATCCTCCTTTTCCACCCACAAATTCTATTTCCCTTTAAAGTACAAGTAGGGGTGACTTTGCATCAGAATACAAGTAGGGGTGACCTTGCATCAGATGTGAGAGACCCCTAGGCTGGAAGAGAATGAGGCTAGAAAGTCCCGTTGGCCTTGGCAGTTCCTGGGTTCTGAGCATGGACTTGGCATATCAGGTTCTCAGTGCAGAAGCAAACACACCCAGGGCCAGGCCATGGCTGGGGAGATGGATGATGCTGACGTACCCTGGCTGGGTCATGAGGTGGGGGGGGAGGGGGCAGTGGCCTACACATTTTAAACATAAGCACAATCACACTGCTGTGTTCACCCAAAGTCCATCCCTGGTCCTCCTCTGTGGGCCTCTGACCTGGGCCCGCACCCCAGAGGGTTTCTCTGACTCCCAAACACAACTCTCCTGGTGTCTGGCAGGACACCCAAGCACAGCCACATGAATGTGAACAGCCCCAGGGAGCAGAGGCTGGGGGAAGCAGCAGCAGAGCAGTCATGATTTGTGTGATTTAAAAGCTACCCTTCCCCATCAGGTGCTCTGAGGAATGGGTGCCCTGGCAGCTCCCAGCACGGCCTGGGCAGAGCCCCCACTGTGTACCGGGCAGACGCTGGTTATGTGTAGGATCTTTCCTGAGCATTTACCCTCAGTTCTCAGGCAGGCTGTGCGCTGTTTGATTACAGATGTAATCACAAGGTTGAAGAGCAGGCCACACGGTGTTTAACATGCATGGACTCAGTCTGCACTCAAAACGTCCCTGTATCTTGGAAAAGGGCTTGCATACACAAAGAGCCACACGGGGGCAAATGCACCTTGTGGCAGGAACCTGAGGCTGCGCCTCCCAGCATCAGGGCCAGGCCAGCCACCCCCATGGCTCGTGCTCATCTCACCACAGCCCTGAGCTTGAGTTGGCTGTGTGACAGCAGCTCACGCTGTTGGCTGCTGTGGTTACTACCTGATGGCTTCCCATGCGCCCCCTGTACCCGCCCCGCACGTAGCACACTTGCAAGTCTGCCTGCATTCCCTTCCCACTGCCTGCCCTACATTTACATGGAAAAGGCTGTGGAAAAACTGACAGGAAGGCAGCCATCCCACCTCCTGGAGCCTGGGAAGCTACACAGCCCAGAGGCCGGCAGCCGCTCCCATTTTCCCAGGATCTGGACGGGTTTGTGGACAGACTGCATTCATTTCAGAAGGGGAGGGATCTGCCAGCTGAAGTGGTTTGAGCAGCCCACGTGCAGCGGGGCTGCGAGAAGCTGACCTGGAACGGGGACTGGGAAGGAGAGGGCGTGGGCGGTGGCCACACAGAGCCTGGAGCCCTGCCAGGCCCCAGGGCTAAGCTCTGAGGGAGCCTCTCCAGCCCCAGTCACAGTAGAGATGCTGCTCACTTGCACGTCCTGTTACCGTGGGCTTTGTTCTCGGCTGTTTATCTTGGAAATTGGGGAGGTGCCTGGCCACCCACAGCAAGCTGCCTGGGCTCCACAGCACACTCTGGCTTCCTGCCCGGCGGCATAGAACCCTGTGGTTCAGTGTCCACCAGGGGCTGTCTCTGAGGCTCTGGGACTTGAAAGTCTGTTCTGTCCTAACTGCCAGCAGCATTTTGGGTTCCTTCCTTCTTAACTGTGAATTATTTTATGTTATGAGCAGGGGAAAAAGATTACCCTAGATTTTAAACTCTTATGGAGAAGCCTGTGTCTAGCTTAACAAATGAAGGGTAGATGCCCCCATTTAAAAAACTTCACCATTAATTAAGTTTCTGACAGCCATGGAAAACGACCTGAGTGTGTGGATGGACCATGAAGCACAGGCAACAGAACAGGTGTCCAGGTGAGTGCCTGTGCCAGTGCTGTTCTGTCACAGGACTAACAAGCCACTTGATGCTGCTGACACTCACTTCCCTGTTTTCTGCAGGGCTCCTGGCACCTGTGTGTGGCCCCAGGGACAAGTGCCTAGCACACTGAGCCTCAGGGCCAGCAAAGAGATGGCTTCCAGACCCTTGCCACTGCCCAAACAGTCCTGATGTCTGATGTCATGGAGAAGAGGCATGGGAGGGTATCAAAGCAGTGCAGGAGAAGGGGTCAGGAGTATGTGAGCAGGAGGCCAGTGGGGCCTGTGGACAGTGAGGCCTGGGCTCGCAGGTCTCTGTTTTGTCTTCCTCCATCTCCACCCCACAGAGCAGATTTTCCTCCAGTTAGCAGGCCCAGGGTGGGGGCTTTTCAGTGAGAAGTTGCTGCCTTCTCAAGCACAGCTGTGGTCTCAGGAGGCTTCAGGCCTCCTTCCTGTGCACCCCAAGCACTGCTGGAGTTCACTGTGATGTTTACAATGTCTTCAGTGAGCACAAACAAATCAAGGAAGTAAATTCTGCAAAGGTGAGCAGCTGGAGGCCGCACAATTGTTTGCTCTCTCGTGGTTATGTTAACAGGACTTGGCACTGGGACGATCTGCCTGGAATCTGCCTGGCAAGGTCGTCAGCAACATGTGAGGATTCCTCAACACATCGTCTTTCCCCACAGTGACAAAAGGCAGCCCAGTGGGAAATCCACTGTGTTGAGCACATTTAAAGGATTCTTCTGCCTTTCTCATTGCACATCCTACGGGTAGTAGAGGACAGGGCTGCCCTTCCTCCTGTGACACAGGCTGAATTTCCTAGGGTTCGGAGGCACCAGAGGCAGCTGTTTCTCGTCCTCTTTGACTTGGCCGCCCTCACCCTGTTGCCTGAGCCCCCTCCCCTGCCCTAGAACGAGCCCAGGTTGAGGTTGAAGGGGACTCCGCCCCATTGGGATGTGCTAGCCGGAGAGGTGGATAAAGTTCTGTAGAATTCAAAGTAAAGGGGCCAGCGCTGTGGCATAGCAGGTAAAGCTGCCGCCTGTAGTGCCAGCATCCCATATGGGTGCTGGTTCGAATCCTGGCTGCTCCACTTCTGCTCCAGCTCTCTGCTATGGCCTAGGAAAGCAGTAGAAGATGGCTCAAGTCCTTGGGCCCCTGCACCCACGTGGGAGACCCAGAAGAAGCTCCTGGCTCTTGGCTTCAGATTGGCGCAGCTCTGGCCATTGCGGTCAACTGGGAAGTGAACCAGCGGATAGAAGACCTCTCTCTCTCTCTTTGCCTCTCCTTCTCTCTCTCGGTAACTCTGACTTTCAAATAAATAAAATAAATCTTTAAGAAAAAAAAAAGAATTCAAAGTAAAGACAGAAGCGTCTCACAGAACATTCCCAAGACTGAGTCCAGAAAGCAACAATCAGCAGACATGGGAGAGCAATGTTTCAGTGACAGTGGGAGTAAAGGCAGCGGAGACTGGCCAGGTCCTGTCAATTCTGGGAGCCTTCAAAACAAGCATTCCAAAGGCAAGAAAACTATAGAACAACCTGAATGCAAGTTTGAGAATCAGAACTGCAATGGGTCTGAACCTACTCTAGCCTCATAAAGCAAGCAAATTTCTTGATGCCTCTATTTCTTTCCCCAAAGTGAAATGAACAGCATTCCCACACTATGGGCTCATCACCAGCACTCACCATGGCTGAGCATGGAAAGGAAGTGGCCAAGGCTGGCCCAGCAGATGCCCAGCACTTGGGAGTCTGCATCTTCAGAGGGAGGGAATGGGGAGAGAAGTATACCAACTAGTGCCAGAGAGGAAAAGACATGGAGGCAAACATCTCAGTGCAGGGATGAAAATCGTCCAGCACCAGCAGGGGCAGTGCCTGATGACACTGCTGATCCAGGAAGAACTCACATCCAGGATCTCCTTGTTGGCCTTTGGAGACGTGGCTTCTCTTAACTCCTTGATGGCCACAGGGATTTTAACTTTCTCGCCTTCTGGAATCCAGAGTCCCTGTGAGAAGAGATGGCTGTCATGGCATGTGGCAGGTGACGGTGTGCAGGATGGGTTTCATTAGCGATACTGTATAAAGGGCGAGTGATGGAAGCCGTGGCTCTGCCCCAGTGCCAGACTCACAACTCCTAGCTTCGGCTGCCAGGTCTGTGAGTCAGCAGCATTAGATACAAAACCTCCATGCCTGCGAGTAGGCCTGCCTGAGACCACAGTCCCCACAGAGGCCCTCATCCTGATGCTGCCACACACTCACAGGCAGCCCTCCCTGCCCTCCATCTATCTCAGCCTGGCCTGAGCCACATACCCTGGAAGATTAGCGACTTCCACAAAACACTTTTGGCCTCACAGGATCACTTCCTTGTCACTGTAGTGGCATTTCCTCCCAATAACCTGGGGAAACTGCTAGAATTTCGCAAACTCAGTGGAATGGAGATGATGACATGAGGACAGGCTGAGGCCCCATGGAGCATGAGAGCTCTGCAGACTGTCCTGAGGTCTCACCTTATACACGGTGCCAAACGCTCCAGAGCCCAGGACTTTGAGCTTCTTGAATTCTGTTTCCTTTAAAATCCTCAGGAGGGCTTGGTTGGGGGCCTCCCCACTGGGTGTAAGAGGCTCCACGAGCTGTGAAATTGGACACGGGATTGGGGTTAGAAGAGTCCAGTGTGTGTGCAGGCAGGGCCAGCAGCTTGTGGCCCTGCCATGGTGCAAGGGTTCATCTAGCTTGCTTGAGAGGTGAGTGGCACCTGCCCTACACAACAGGGCAGAAATGGAGACCTTGAGGCAGGTGCTCTGACCCAATAGTGACGTTCCAAATGTGGCTGTTTCTGATTCAGTCCAATCAGCTGCACCGAAAACTCTGGTAAAGGAGGTTTCATGCAGTGGCCACTTCATCACCTACCTGTCATTCCCATCACCACCTGATCGCTTCTGTCAGCCACCTGTCACCTCTGTCACCCACCTGGTCACTTCACCTACCTGCCACTCCCATCACCACCTAGTCACCTGTCATCCACCTGTCATTCCCATCATCACCTGGTCACTCTGTAAGCCAGTGGGGCCATAACACACAGCACCACCTTGCTCACAAACACCTGTGCTTCCCAGGGACAGTGGCTTCTGAAACTGCTGGCCACAGGGAGCATCCTGGGCAACATGGGGCACAAACAGCCCAGTCAGGAGCAGTCAGGTATGAGGACAATGGCAACTTCCCAGGAGCCTCTGCTCCCCACCATGTCGCCCTCACAGCCTTGTTCCCTCTGGCTGACAGGCTGTCTTCATAAGCATGCGCACAACTCGACCTAGAGACACTCACCTCTGCCTGGACAGAACCAGCCGGGCATAACTGGATGTTCAGAGATTCCTCCCAGGTCTCTACCACAACAAAGAGACGCAGAGCCCCGCACATCTCATGTCTTAGATATGCACGCAAGTTGCACGCTCACCTCTCTCTCCTGCAGCAGTCGGCGCAATGTGCGCTTCCGGACAATGTGGCGCCTGCGCATGAAGAGGCCGATGCCGAGGCCCAGCACCACCAGCAGGAAGAGGCCGCCCACGACCCCCGTGGCGATGGAGGGGATTTTGGGCCTGGAATGAGGAGCAGAGACAGGAGTGAGGTTTGCTGGAAGCTTTTGTGATGCTGGCATTTTACACATCTTGCTGTTTTGACACACAAACATAATCCACGATGACCTCAGATCCTGCACAGGTTCCAAAGACGGAGAAGCCGGGGTCCAGGAAGTATATCCAGCGCCTCGAGCCCCAGCCCTGCCCTGCAGTTTAGCTGGAGGCTCCATGGAACCTCCCCACACGAGGATTGCTATGAAGGAAAGCAACTTGGACTTCAGCAACGCCTGCTGTGTCAGGCGACACCTGTGTCTTCCTGGACGTCTCCACGCTAGATGAGGGACCCCTCAACAATGCAGGGCGCCTCAGCCGCAGCTGTGCACAGTGCTCTGGCAGAAGGCTGTGTCACCAGTTAGAAATTCTGAATTTGCAGTTTTTGAAAGGTACTCTCCTTAAGCACCTATCCCATGTGGGCTTCAGATTGATTTTTGTTTTCAGGTATAAAGCTAATGAGTATCAAAGATTAATTAGCAGCATTTGTGCACAGAAAAGTGCCAAGGTCCTCCAAGATTTTTCTTAAGTGGGTCCAAACGTACTTCATCAAAATGACGGTTTGCAATGCTTTCCCAGTGCCATCTCCTGTGTCACACCACATCCACTGCTAGTGCAGTTTGAATGAACGATTTTCATGGTTTTGAAGGGAACAGTGAAGATGTGAGGGCTGACTCATTACTGAGCATGCGTTCCGTGGGAGGGGCAGCACATGGGCGAGCGAATAACAGAACAGGAGACTGTGGAGCTGATGTAACAGAGTGGTTGATGAGGGGTGTTGAGGCGGGGCTCTGATGGGAAATAGAACAGAGCACCGGGCTGCTGTCAGTGAAGGGACAGGAATGTGTCTGAGGGCTGCCTTCTTCCTCTTTTGTGTTTCATGAGGGGCAGCAGAAATGGGCAAGGGAGGAAGCAGAAGTGGAAGGGGCTGGGACGAGGGTTTGCAGATAGCACCAGGAATGGCCTAGTGTTTGGGGATATCCAAACAATTCCCGACTCCCCCCCAACACACTGCTGACTGCTGTCCCACTCTTTCCGATGAGGCCGAGCAGGAATCCCCAGCTTTGGCCCTCCTGTGTGCAGCGTTTTACGGTAGCACGTAAACTGAGCAGAGCTGAAATGCTGGAGGGAGCCTGCAGGCTTGTGCAGCAGGGTGTGTGGAAAGGTCGGGAGCAGACTCCCCCGAAGCTGCGGCTTTGTCAACAGAAATCCACGCAGACTCAGGGTGACAGGATTATCTGGGCTAGGAGAAGACCAGCACAGCCACAGGAGTCACAGACCATGGGTGAAGACAGCAGCAGGGGCCAAGCAGGGGCTCTGCTGGGAGCTGGCCCCAGCGCCACTCGCCCTGTGTCTCTACTGAAGAACAAAACCAGCATGGGTCGAGGCTGCAGCTGGCAGGGTGGTCTCTGCTAGGGTTAGGGTGCCAGCCCAGGCAGGCTGGGAGGTAAGGAACCTGACCCAGTGGGGACAGAAGGCAGGGAAGTCCCTCCTCAGCTTAGGACATGAAGTGGTAGAACTTACCCATTTGTTGCACAGCCTTCGAGACCTGGCCCAGCACAGCTGCAGGAATTAAGAGAGAAAGACACGTTTTCCTCATTCTGCTTCCTGGCATTTTACATCTGAGAGTTCTTCTACATCATAAGGCACCATGGGTTAAATGACCCTGAAATCACTGAAGCTGTGCATCATCTCATGGAGGGTACTTACTACAGGATTTGCTTTGCCTTTGTTCATGCACTCAGCAAACGTTTTGGCATCTCCTTTGTGGCAGGGATTGATCTAGAACTGAATAGGCAGCAGCTCACATAGCCACACTGTCAGGACCAGCAGGCTGGAGGTGCCGGGACCAGAACACAGCAGCCATGCTGTGCAGGGAGCACACTCAGGAGGCAGCCTGTGCTTGGAGCCACTATCTGGCCGTGGGGGTGCAGCAGAGGCTGTGACTGGGTCAGCGACAGCATGAGAGAGAAGGCGTGAGCCTGGCAGGTTTTGAGAGGAAACAGGAATCCCGACACGAGCTTGGCAGCCCACAACAAGGAGCAGAGTGCACTCCACCCCACACTGAAACTTCTCCCACATGGGAAGGACGACTGCCAGCAGGGCTGCCGTCTGGGGACTGGCCAACACCTGCAACTTTGATCAAGCCTCACCTCGCTCAGCTGGGGAAGGAGGAGCACCTGTGTTCAAAGGGAAAGACCAGGGACACCTGCTTGACACCAGCCCCATCTGATCCTTAACATTTTCCCTCCGTCCCAGGTCTCAGCAAATAGCTCTCGCCTCTCCTCAGTTGGGTGGTCTGGGCTCCCCCTCTTTTCACTGTTGCCAGATAACCCATTCTGGCCTTTGCGACACCTTTGGGCTTTCATTCATAAACCCTCACATAGGCTTTCCCAGGCTGTGGAAGACACAGGGGCCTTGCAGTCTATCATCTCCATGAACACCCAAACAGCAGACAGCCTACACCTACTAGTGAGTGACCACTGCCACAGTCAGACCTTGCTCAGGGTCTCCCTCCCCACTCACACTCTCCCCCAGAGTCTGAGTCTGCAGCCTCTGCTATGCTGTAAGTAAAAGGCATACAGAATGAAATATCAAGTTTTGGACAGATTTCAGCAGCTTTGACAGTGCTGTGGGGAGGCTACAGGGACAGGGACAAGCTTGGGGGGAGGACGGTGGCTTCCCTTTGAAGACAGGGTTGAAAGGGCAGTGGCAACACAGTTGCAAGAGAGGATGGTCTTGGTGCAAAGGTCAAGAGGCCCTTGGGAAAACCAGTGGTGCCCTTTTGTGCAGGTAAGCAGTGACCATGAAGTCAAAGAGGCCATATCATGTTATCATTTAATTCTGCAGAAAAATACTCTGTCACTCAATCAATGTATTCTTTTTTGGGTTGGATTTTTTTTTTTTTTTTTTTTGGCAAATTTGAGAGGTGAGGGTGAAGGAGAGAGGAAGAGAGATACGTAGATATATCTCACTCACTGGGTCACTCCCCAAATGCCCACAATAGCTGGGCTGACTCAGCCCAAAGCTAGAAGCTGACAACTCTGTGTCTCCCACATGGATGGCAGGGGCCCAACTACTTGAGCCATCACCTGCTGCTTCCCAGAGTGCACCCTGGCAGGATGCTAGAATCAGGAGCAGAGCTGGGATTTGAACTGAGCCATTATGAGATGAGAAGCAGGCGTCCCAAGTGAAATCCTAACCACTGTGCCAAACACCTGCCCAGGGAAGACATTTTCAATCCGTGGACTTGCAAGATAGGGAATGTTCGCTCTGCATGTCACTCACCCATAGGTGCAGTTTGGGTGGCACAGGCGGCAGATGCGTCCAGCGTCGGCAAACTTCCAGACCAGGGTGTCGTTTTCCCCCATGACTCCTGCTGGGCAGGTCTTGACGCAGTGAGGGCCATCGATGAAGTGTGCACACTTGATGCAGTTATCTGGACCCTGCAGCGTGGCAGAGGAAAACACACACTGATGTCTTTGTTCTTTTTCAAAACAAGTTGCTTCTAACTGTAAATATGTTGTGTGAGGAGCAGCAGAATGTGGTTCCAGTGCTTGGGCCCCTGCTACCCCCGTGGGAGACCTGGAGGAAGCTCCTGGCTTCGGCATGGCCTGGCCCTGGTTGTTGCGGCCATCTGGGGAGTGAGCCAGCGGATGGAAGATCGTCTCTCTCTCTCTCTCTCTCTCTGTAACTCTTTCAAATAAATAAATACACCTTTTTATAAAGGGGGAAAATCTGTTGTGTGAGGGAAGAAAACCAAAAGGGCCAGGTCTTGACTGCCCTTCCTTGCTCTGCCTACTGTCAACAGCCGAGCGTGGAGTCTTTCTGACTTCCACAGCACGTGATAGACACACACAGGGAGGAAGCACTCTAACCTCATTGCACTGCACTTGACAGACAGCAGGCAGCTCCTGGTCACAAACCATTGTGGTTGGCCTACATGTGAATACACTCCCTCTGTGGCTGCACCATCTTTCTTGCATAGCACATCTGGAGTTAGGGGAAGCCTCAGGGAAGCCAGCCTTGCCAAGGAGGGGCTAAGAGTTTCTGTGGGGACCAGGAAGTGGCAGCAGTGGCTGCAGAAGGGACAGAGTGCCACGTGCACTGGGTTCTGTAACGAGCCAAGAGAGGATGGTCACGGAGCCGCTGGGCTGTGGGCCTCACCCCTCATAATGGCTGGAAGGAGAGTTCCCCCAGCCATGTCCTCTGATTTCCCAGTTTTGTCCACTCCAATGCTAATGGTACCCAGGGCCAGAAGAACAGATGACTAAGTCAAGATCACCACTTATTCCACCGTTTTCATGGTAAAAATGTAACCCAACACCATATAATCAATGGTTTACTTTGTAAGTGGTTCAGACCTCAAAACAAGGCTCTGTCATCTTATGCCTGACTTGGATGGATTTTCTGACACACATCCTCATTAGTGGAGTTTGATATGGGCCTGTAGGCGCAAATCCAAACCCAGCTCCATGTGGGAAGAATAGAGCTGTGCTTAGTACCCACAGGGGACTGGCTCCAGGGTTCCCTCTGATACCAAAACTAGGGACCTGAAGTCACTTCTAGAAAGCATGCAGGATTAGCATCTGACATACACAATTCTCCTGTACACTTAAATCATCTCTAATAACTTGCAGTACATAACGCAATACAAATGCCGCATAGTTATGTTATATTGTACAAAGAATAACATGTGAAGAAAGGTCTGTAAGTGATCAATAAAAGGAATATTTCCATCTACCTTTGGTTGAATCTCTGGATACAGAACCCACACCCAGGGGCCAGTACTGAGAGTGAGCAGCACTGGGCATCTGCTGTGAGGACTGAATTCTCTCTCACTGTGTTCTACGCTGGATTGTTACTGAACATGTATGCACAAAACTGATACTTTTTATAAGTTTTGTTAGTTTCTTTAAGAGGGTTTCAACTAATTATCCATGAATGATAAACAAGGATGTGATGATGTGGGACAAAATAACAAAGCAATGATGACAGAAGGGGTGGCAACAGGCAACCAGCCCCAAAGCCTCCAAGTTCTGGTGTTGTGTGGGGCACTGTCAAGTTCCATGCACGTGGGACATTGACAGGAAAGGTGAAGGCTCATCAGAGGCGGTTGGCCAAGAACCCTGCTCCAACAGCCCCTGTAGGCTGCTGACACATGCAGCCTACCCCAGTTTTGGACATGCGCTCTAACCACTGTCCTTCCCTGCTCCAGGACAGCATGGCCACTGTGCTGTGGCCTTGCCCTATGATGCAGGCAACTGTGGCACTGTGCTGGGAACTTGCCCTATGACACAGAACAGAGAAGTACCCAATGGGCTACTTACCCGTCCTGTGCAGGTGATGTTCATGGCCTGGGGCAGACATTCCGGATGGCACTGAATGCACTCAGAGTTCTCCACAAACTCCCTGGGCTCACTGAGGAAGGAAGAGGGGACCAATCACAAAACATGTGTAGACACACCTGTCTCATGTGACGCAGAGCACCTCTCAGAAGTCCATGAGTGCAGGCGAAGACCATGGAGTGGGGCTCTCAGAGGTGCTACCATATGACAAAAGGATCATGCTGACAGAGTCCTTGCTCATCTTCTCCCCAGAAAACACACTGGAGTCTCCAGTCCACACCTCCTCCCTGCACACACGTCAAGCAAGCTGTAGGGTGAAAACAATCATCCCTGCCAGGTGCCCCTCCCTCGAGTACCAGATGTATGAATAATTAAGTAAGGCTGGAAGGAAGCAGTGACTGTGACTTGGACAGGAAGCAGGCATACTGACACGCGCTCAGTGGTTATTCCTAGCAGTAATACGCAGGGAACATGTGTCAAAACATGCCTTCGTGCAGTTCTCGGCATTCTTTAGGATGCACAGGCCAATGTTAAGCAAGAAGTTGATGCGTGACTGAGAGGACAGAAGTCTGGTGTCTGCTGGTAATTAACTCAGGTCTTCAAGCCCTGAGCAGTGCTGTTCACACCTGAATGCAGGTGCCAGTCTTCCCTGTCAGGCAAATGGCATCAATTATGCCCATCAGGAGGCCGGGATGTGGGTTCTGTGCATCTGGGTTGCCTCCCCTCCCAAGGGGCTGTGGACACTGGGTTTCTGTGCCCCGTGGAAAGATGATGACTGACAGTTAAGGGCTGAGCCGACATTCCCTATTAGAGGCTGTAACAGCAGTCAGTTGTCCGTGTCCCTGAGTCCATGGCTAACGGATTCCTATGGAGTTGGCCTGGGCCTGGTTTCTGTATCCCGCTCCTTGCAAGTCTATGTCTGAGAGTGGAGCCATGGCTCTTTGGTATCACAAAATTTCCTGTTTCTTTTAAGGTTTTAAAAAAATAATTTCCTCGGTTCTTTTAGTTCTACATCTGTATTGCACTGTTCCTAGTCACTGTAGATGTCCAAAGCCTTGCATTGGCATTGAGAGTCCAGGATATCCACAGACTACAAGTCCTCTACACTGTTTTCATGGAAACTAAACTCACAAACATGAGTGGCTTCTCTTTGCCCATGTTATCTGGTTTTCACTGTGGAGGAACACAGTTTGTATGAACGCATCTGACACATTGGAAATAGTACACAGCCAGGAAAAGACCAGCTGGCCATGGCCTTGGCCACAGAAGCCATTTGTGACTGCTTCATTTGTCTTGGGAATTTTGTGCAGCTTAGGAAAATTCAAGATATTTCTAGGAGAAATGATTCTAGAAATGATTGGACTTGATTAAGAAATCATGCAAGTTTATTCCTTACTGTAGTTGTTTGCCAGAAACCAAACACAAAAGCAAACAAATAAAAAAAAAAAAAAGAAAACAACAAACCCCCAAACAACACAGGAACAGAAAAGAATGAACCGAATACCTGGACACCTACAAGCACAGGCTGAGTCTTATCTGTGATCAAAACGAGAGGATTCAAAGAGCAGCTCCTCACCCCTCCAGAACGTTGCACCTCTCCACACACTCCTTGCCACGGCTGACATTCCGGCAGGAGACACAGTCCCTGGGCTCGGGGCCCCAGCAGCCCTCCGATGAGCACAGCGGGTCACAGACGTGGCCAGCGGCCTCTGAGCAGACAGGGAGTCACATGGTCAGTTATAGGACAGGGGCCAAGGAGCAGCACAGACAGGTTATGTGCACCACTTGGATACGCAAGGGGCTCCTGAGGGAAGCAGGACACAAAACGACGGGCCAGCTGCAGGTGCCCTCTTCCCTGCTGGGGGCCCAGAGCTTAGGGGACCCACCTCTGGTGGGACATGGAAGCTGCCTGCCACAGCTGATGGGGACACAGAATCTTACTGAATGCCCTCCCGGCACCTTGGACAACAGGTTGACACCAAGGCCACAGAGACAGGGAGAGCCTGGTCTAGCACTTGCGAAGCTCACACATGAGTGGGTTGGTCTGAAATACTGGGCACTGGCCTGTGGGCATGTGTGCATGCATGTGTTTGTAGCTACAGTCATAAGAGCTGAAATGAACAGGAAGAAGACCATAGCTAAAAATGTGATAGAACTGTTACTAAATTCAGTTCTTTCATTACAAATAATTGATAGCCTAAACCTCAAGGCAAATCCGTTAAGATGAGAATGATCTGAAACAATTCTGATGCACTTCTCACAGTAACATCAGTTAGGAATTCCAAGTTGTAATGTGCTTCTGAAGGAACGACAAAGTGACACATGCATCAGGGATAATCTTTCAATATTCCACACGAAAGACCCTGGGCCACCACGCAAGGAGAGTGGGCAGGGATCACTCACTGCAGTCCTTGTCTCCCCGGTTGTTGATAATTTTGGTTTTCTGGCTGGAGGTTCCAAAAAGCTTTTTCCAGTTTATTGTGTTTGCATAGCACAGGTCTCGGTTTCCTGAAACGATCACGTCTCCATCGCTAATCTCTTGGAGGGAGCGCAGTCCCAGGGATGTTATGTCCAGGCCGACAACCGCAAGAGAAAACTGACCACTGACCAGGAAAGAGACAGAACAACAGCATGAACAATCTGTCTCTGCTGTCCTGGACAACTTCAGCTTCACTACAAGCACCTTCCAGTGACTGCCATCATCTTGGGGAACTGCTGCAGCAACAAGGAGGAGCTCCTGACTCCTTTGGCATCTTCTACTTCAGGGACAGATGAGAGGGCTGAATATACGTCTTTTAAGAAAAGATTGATTTAAAAGGCAGAGTGACAGAGAGAGAGGGAAAGAGATCTTCCATCCTCTGGTTCATTCCCCAAATGGGTGCAATGACAGGGGCTGAGCTAGACTTGAGCCAGGAGCCAGGAAAATCCTTCCAGGTCTCCCATGTGAGTGTCAGAGGCTTAACCACTTGGGCCATGTGCTGCTGCTTTGCAGGCACATTAGCTGTGAGTTGGATCAGGAGCAGAGCAGCCTGGACTAAACTAGTGCTCTGATGTGAGATGCCAATGTAGCAAGTGGCAGCTCGACCCACTCTGTCAAAGCTTGAGCTCCGAATGTATGGCTTAATGCCACCGTTTTACTCACTGCGGGCAGATTAAGAACACACTCCAGCCTCTGAAGCATTCATAGTACTTCAAAGGCTGTAGGTCTGTTGGTCTGTCTACCACCCTCCCATCCATTCACACACTTGTGTTTCCTGAGCAAACTCGAGATCTGTGAGAATACTTACCCAGAAGTCACTCCTGAAACATCCACTGAAACAGAATTTAGGGGCCCAAGGGGGAAAAGCTCTCAGGCTCCAAGGGCATCTCCTCAAACCAACCCAACCAAATGGCTGCATGGCAAGGTCAGACAGCAGTGATGGCTACAGGGCAAGCCTGGCCCAGTGCCACAGCCTCTGCAGGTCAGAGCTGCCAGCTCCTGTCTCACCCCACAGGCATCACTGAGCCTTCTTTTGAAACAAGGCTGTAACTTCTCTTTCCCCAGTACAATCTGAGGCTTTCCATGGTCCCTGGGACACACGAGAGACTGTCCCATCTGCACACGTGTGTCTGGCCTGCAATCCTATTTCATGTTTTTTCTCAGTCAGGTTCCTTTATTACAGACTGTTCTCTTATTTTCGTTCGATATCCCTGACTTCATGTGGGCCCTGCTCTCAGGGGGTGAGGCAACCAGGTAGGCAGAAACTTAAGGTCGGCGGCAGGGTCACGCCACTGTAGTCACCCTGCTGCCTCCCCAGGTGCCAGCAGGAAGCAGGAGCTGGGACTCCAATGGGGTTCTCTGACGTAGGGTGTGGAGGCCACAACTGCTGGCCCAGCACCTGCCCAGGGAGATGCTTTGAAGTTGGCTTCAGCAATGCAGTGATGCGGGCCCTCCTTCAGCCAGCAGCCATGAGAGACTGAGCGACTGCTGGGTGGCAAATGTGCAGGCAGGAGGTTGGGAGGTGGTTTGCAGAGGGTGAAGAAGGCAAGAGCCCCATAGGCCGTGTGCACCCAGTGGAGGCTCAGGGGAGAGACCCACAAGTGTTAGGGCCATGTGCCATGAGGATGGGCCTGTGGGGGCAGGTGGAGGGAACAGACCCACATTGAAGGCGCTGGAGGCAATGGTTTCAGGGATGCTGGGAAGGCTCTTGCTGCCTGCGATTCTTCCCCTTCCCTCCCACAGCCTTGATCCACAGAAGCAAGGGTCCCTGTGAGGGCTGTCCAACCTGCAGGAGTCCCCTCGATGGGAGTCCAGGAGGGTGGGACCAGTGGTGAAGTTGCCTCTTCTCTGTGTGGCAGGCCCAGAGCTTTGTGGCCTGTGCCCTAGAACCAGTGGTCACTGAACTGCCCATTAAAATGTGAAGAGGAAAATGTATAGCTGATCTGTTTACTTCTCTACAACTAAGTCAAGTGACTCGTCTCAGGTATCCAATAAACTCCTATAACCTCTGGTTTCTGGATGAAGCCCCTGAGAGGCATTTCTGGGAGTCAGAACCAAACAGCCTTTCTGGACAGTGATGGCAGCTGTGTGCCCAGCATCAGGACTGTGTGCAGATCAGGATTGTCTTTAACGTTGCACAGTATCCCATGGTTCTTTTACAATGTGTTCTCGTGACCCGGCCCTCTCCAGGCAGGTTTGACACAGACACCCCAACTCCTCCTCACCCACAGCTAACAGGTGCTCCTGTGTAGGGGAGAGGCCTCTGTGTGTGTTTCACTGTGGAGCTGAAGAGCTGAAATCCTGAAAAAGGATTCAGGGATGAAGTCTCTGGTCCCCTGACAGGATGATGTGCAGCCCTGAGGACACCATGGAAGAGGCGGCTGAACACACACTGGGGGTTCTGCAAGACACCCAGCCTGTGCTCCCTAAAATGTGGAGGCCATGAGAGGACAGATGGGGCCTCAAACGAAATGAGAAGCTGGGTTCACACTAAGCATGTCACATGGGGCCCTACAGGGCAGCTTCATGGTCAGCCTGCAGGGCAGTTAACATCACGGGCTGAGAGAGCCACCATCCCCGCACGAAAGCTGACAGGGGACATGTGGGGACTCTTGGGGCTATCTCTGCAAGTCTAATTTCAAGTGAAAGACAAAGTGTAATGTCCCCGGCTGTGGCTGTGGCCGACTTACTGCTGCTTTGTCCTGCCACGGATGATTTCTAGGTTCTCAAAGGCATGGAGGTCAGTCTTGTTTTCTGGCCACGCCTGAATCAGTAGAAACCCTGTCAGGCAGAAGGAAGAGTCAGATGTGCAGCTCTGCATGGACATTGTTCCAGGGATCACACGTGGCTATCATTGGAGGGGCAAGTGTAAAAAATTTGGTTTGACTGGATTCTTTCACCACAGTCAGGTGCAACCCGAGGCAGGATCTTATCACGGAGCCCGGCCTTCCTGAGGGATTCCACCTCTCCACTGCATGTCTCCCCCGACCCAATCCCACCCTGAAGGCGGTGCCAAAGTCCCTGGTCTGACTGGAGCTGCCACCACACAGGAGTGTGTGCATATTTTACTTGGTCAATGCCAGTCCTAAAACAACCTTATTCAGGCTGAATTATTCTTTTTAGAGACAAACACAGTTGAGCTGATAGCAGCCATGGACCCACACTGAAGTCTATTTCGTAAAGCGCAAAGCTCTCACTGTCCCCTCCTTGACTAACAAGTAATGGCCCTGAGCCTTTGGATGGCTGGGTTGGGTACAGGGGTTCAATATGAGCACATGAGGGTGTGACAGACACAAAGCCTTGGCTTAAAGCACTCACCCCTTGCATTGTTGGGAAACTGCATTTCTGAAAAGTGTCAAAGTGTTAGTGCCTCCCAGCAGGACAAGAGAAAGCTCCCGGGCCCAGGGAAGGGGCTACGTCTCAGTCCTCTCCACACCTGGCCCCGCTCACCTGTGATCTCCCGCACGGTTTTCAGGATGTCCAGCTCCTCGGGGTCCAGGGGCGGGGTGCGGGTGAAGGAATCCCTGCAACGGGCAGTGGAGTTACTGGCTGCCGGCCCCCACAGCTGAGGGTGCAGACTACGTTCTTCTCAGACCAGCACCCTTGTCACTCACCCCCTGAATGCCACCGGCAGGATGTGCAGATCACCACTGATGGACGTGCAGTTTTTGAAGTGTTTGATGTTTGTGGCATTTATGGACAACGTGTCTTTAAATTCACCAATTCCTATCCCATTACAAACTGTTAAGACAAGAGTTGTTTATAACCTCACATTTATTGAATTCAGAATCATCAGGGTCCTACAGGCACACAGGAGCAGGAGAGGAATTCAGCCCACAAGAACTCTGGTTGCCACGCCATCATTTAGGCACTCAACAAACACTGATGGAGGGCCTGCTGGGTCCTAGGACCAGGGGCAGGCTTGGGGGTTACCACGGTGAAAGGGGACCTGCTGCTGCCATGGCCCTTGCTGGGATCTCCTTCTCCTCCTCCTCGTTTCCCACTCAGGCCAGGGTCCAGCTGTGCCTCGACTCTCGCCATTTCTCTGCCCCCAGGACAGCTCCCCTGGCTGCCAGAGCTACCTCTGCACGACTCTCCCTGGTGTGGCAGCCTGGTCTTCTCATACAGAAACAGCTTGTGTCAACACGCGTGTTGCACGTGTGCACTCCACATCTGTCTCTACCACAGAGCGAGTGTGTCCATCTGGAGGTGGGCCCTCAACCCCAGCTTCCACACCCGCAGGCCTCCTACCTTTGCGACAAGGCCCCTCGCACTTCTTACACTTGCGGACGCCATCTTCCTCCACCTCGTAGCTGTCAGGACCACAGGCCCGGACACAGGAGCCATGATCTGTCACCACGTAGTTACCTGCAGGGGTGTGGGAGGCAGGTGGTGAAGGCAGAACCAGGTGCCTCACGTCCTCCTCAGAAGGGACCCATGGAAGGGCCCATAGCCTTTGGTTCTGTTCATATCAAGGACAAGGAGTGAGAGGCTGCAGACAGGAGAGAACCCCATTCAAGAGGGCGGCAGCTTCGAGCCTGCAGTGTAGGGAAGAGGGACCCTTGCCCACAGGCAGGAGCGTGGAGCCCGTACGTCCTCTGTGAGCCCCCGTGGGCTCAACCTGCAGGACTCAGAGCTCAGATATCCTCAACATCCACGTGAGGGAGACAGAGCCCATTCTTCACCTGTGCACCTGTGTTTGAGGCGGCCTTTCATCCTGTGCTGACTCCCAGCTCTGCCCCTGCCCTGGTGGCCGCCTGTCTGCGGTGGCCTCGCATCCCTCAGCTGTGCCATGGCAGGACCAGCCAGCCTTGCACTGTAGCCCTGAAGATAATTTGTGTTGATATTAACGACTTTGTTACCCCAGGAGCATCTGTGTTCTTTTTAACTTCTCCATGTAGACACTCAGAAACATTCAGTGGACATAATTTTTTCCCCATGAATTGTGAGCTTGTCTTCTCTTAGGTTCTAAGTGTTTTCCTGTGAATTAAAAACCCCATCTATTAAGCCTCTCAAAAATGATATCTGTTACAACTGTGGCAAAAGGGTCCCAGTCTACCTCCCAGTGGCTCCCAATCATCTGTGTGCACATAGCTTAAAGCACTCATGGAGATGCACCTGCTATGGCAAATCTCCCTCCTAACTGTGTAGCTTTTTCTCAATCTCCTCTTCCAGAAATCAAGATTGGTTTCTAAAGCCATTTCATTAGACTGCCTAACTTTTCCATCAGGAAATAATTCATGTCACTGCTTCCACATGGTAGAACACAAATATCAACACCCAAACACAATTAGAACAAGATAACCGGAGCCAAGATGGCGGAATAGTGAGGGCGCGCACCGATAGTCCGGGAAAATTTAGTTTAATAAAAGGGGAGTTACGGTAGCCTCAGAAAAAAGAACCAGGAAAATATTGCAGACAAAACTCTTCTGGATCCAGTGGGCGTGAATCGGAGGACCTACTGGGAGAACAAGGTCACCCACTGCGCGCGAAAGCCGAACCGCAGGACCGAGCCGCGGGACTGAGCCGCGGAAGCCGAGCCGCGGGACTGAGCGGCGCAAGCTGCAGGGTCTGCGCGCAAGTGCTCGAAGGGGAGTGCAACAGCGGGGAGACTTGGGAAGTCCAGGGCTCCGAGTCCACACATCGGCGCTGGAAGGGGAGCAGACCTGCGTGGAGAGCGTAGGAGCCCACAGTTCGGGACATCAGCGGCAGACTCAACACACCAGCGCTGGAACGCGAGGTGAGCCGAACCTCAATAACCCGAGACACCGGCAGGCAAGCGGAGAGAGGAGACTAGAGGGAACGACCCCCGGGGCGGGGGGGACTTCACCAAGCTAACTGGAAGAGAGAGAGAGGGAAAAAAAAAAAAAAAAGGTGACTGGTACGGACACGGGTTTCTCTCTCTCCGCTCACCTCTCAAGGGCGAGCAAGACAAAGAGCAGGCGCCATCTTGGACATACGTCATAAGCAGAGCGACCTCAGGTCTGCACCGGCCCTGAGCCTAGCAGTAAAACCTGACTCTGGGTGGGGCGAATTCCCAGGAGATTAGGACTTAGTAAATTTATGGTGCTACTGAACCTG